CCCGCCTGGGTGGACCGTGTTGTTCCTCTGTGTAGAGCATGTGTTGGCTTCCCGTGGCCCTTAGGCGTGAGGTCTGAGTGCCCACCTCTCCCAGGTGTCCTGGGCCCACTCGGGTGGGCCGCGCCCTATCTCTCCCCACCTCACCTGCAGGGCTCCCTCCCTCGGAGCAGGCTCTCGGTAGGCCTCGCCAGGCTCCCTGTCGTGGCCCAGCAGGTCCTGGCTAACAGCCGCCGCGGCAGAGCACCTCCTGAGCTCCAGTCTGAATTTTGGCTTTTACCTTGAAGTCACTGCCTCGTTTTATTCTTGTGTCCAGTTTGCTAATGAGAATCCTTATGTCAATTTGATTCTCATCCACATACGTCTTCAAAAGTTCTTTCTCCTCTTGGGTGCGTGTAGAATTCTGTCTTTATTCCCATCGGCCTGCGGCGCCCCACTGACTCTGTGAAGCCTGCTCCCCTCGCTTCTCCCAGGGGGCGCTCTGGGCACCTTCGCCGTCGTCCCCAAGGCTTTGCTTGCTGCTAGGAGATCGCAGCCGCCAAATCTGCACAGCTGCTATGGCTTCCCTGGTCTGTTCTCGCTTTCTGGAATCCCTGTTAGGTAGGTTTTGGAATTTGTGAGGTTTCTATTCAGCTTTCAACCCAGTAGCTTCAAGACCAAACAGAACTTTGGGGTTTTTTTCTGTTAGTGTCGCGCTGTGAACGCGGTCTTCATGCCGATCTTGTTTCCTGAACTGGCCTTTGTCGCTGGCCGTCCTGCTGCTCAGCCTCTCTGTAGAGGGGTTTGTTTCAAAAACTAGTTTCGGATGAGGATCCCCAGCCAGTCCCTTTTCCTTGTGATCTGTGCTCGCGCCCACGTGCGCCCTCCTGTCTGGGGCTGCTCGGTGCCGTTCAGAGCCGGGTTCTGGTGGCCCAGGACCGGGACCGCGCCTCTCCTCCATTTCCTCCTCCCGGTGTTGGTGCCTCGCAGGTGTCCGCTGACTCTGGGCGGTGAGCTCCTGATTGTTGGTGTTTATTGCCGGACTATCAATCCTTCTCCAAGTATTGCTTTTATAATAATTTTCTTTCTTTTTTTCAAAAAGAAAAAAATTGAGATTCAAGGGCCACGTATGTGCTGAGTGTGTCCACCCACAGGGTGGACACTCTGGCGGGTGGCTGTGTGCCCCCGTCCTGGATGGGAGGCAGGTCAGCTGTGACGTGCGCAGGAGACCTGGAGATGCTGTTTGTTTTGATATGGCCACGATGGCGGTGGAGTAGCAGAGCAGCGGGAGGGAATGAGGGAGCGCTGTGCCCAGAGGGCAGGC